CACACACACACACACTTCGTAATTTAGAACAGAAAATGTTAAGACACTGCAATAAATACTAGGTCACCTAATCCAAATAATTCTTAAAATTTTTTAATCAATATAAAATTTTATTCTACCCTGAGTTGATGTATATGTATAAAAGTGCTTTTTACCACCTTAAAAAGTTGTTACAATGAGCCTGACACCTAACATTTAATGACTATAGCAAAGTATGAGAATAAAAAATTGCTTTGACAAGGATAGATTTTTATAGAATTACTGGATTTGAAGAAAATATATACATTTAATAGCCAAAATATTTAAAAATATTATTTATTTTTATTTCTTGTGGATGAGTATTTGTATGTATGTACACACACACACACATACACACACACACACCACACATACACACACACACACACACACACACACACACACACACACACACACACGGAAACCAGAAGGGGATGCTTGGATTCCCCTGGATCTAGAACTCTGGATGGGTATAGGATCATATGGGTGATGGAAACTTAATATGAATCCCCTGCTAGAGTAGCAAGTACTCTTAACTACTGAGCTATCTTTTTAGCCCTAATGGTAGTAGCCAAATATTTTAGTCTCTGTACTCAACTATAGGTATAACATAAAGATGAACTTCAAATAGTGTGTGTAAGTGTGTTTGATTTTAAATCAAAAGGACAAGGCTTAAACATCTTGAATGCTGTATTTTTATTACTCTCCAATGTTTCTTTTCAGATAGCATTGAACTTGGCATTTTTGTGTATAGATCTTAAGATGTGCCTAAGCACCTATAGAAGAAATCCCAAGTGCTGATGAAATTGTGTGTTCCCAATTGTGACTTGGATTTGATCTTTGAGGCAATTTAAAATCTCAAGTTAACATGATTGTTATGTTCTTTTACTACCTTAAATACTAATTGGAGAATGAATGTGCTATTAAAGTGAGATCAAGAAATAGTATGAACTATTGGCTTTTAAACTACATCTCAGGACATCAGGCCCAGTTTCACTCCATCTTTAGAATTTTATTAGCCACAAGTGGCACTAAGCATCCTACATCCTCACACAGCAGGAAGCAATGAGTAATTCATGTTCAACATCATGGAGCATGAGTATGAAAGATAGCACTATTTGCCCTCTGCCATGTGTCAATGGGCCTTTCTGAACCACTATGGTAATATCTTTCCTCCTTACATAATTTTTACAAATATACTGATAAAGATAGACTCTGTTATCTGCTTTGAATGGGTTGTCTATCTTTTTCCTGTAACTGTATACAGTTGTGACAAGGTGCTTAATAATCTTAAGCTTACTGCTGCCAGAGTAAATACAGTTGTGAGAAATGATGACCCTGCCAGTGGAAGCCCTACAAAAACTACAGCTTTTTGTTGAATGACAGAATAGAAGATGACATTAGTTGTACTAATTTAGAGTATAACAAAAGGCCTTCCTAAATCTTTTTCATAAGGTAACATTAAACAAGACATTAAAAGTAGATCAAGGAGACAAGATAGTATTTTCAAAGGAAATGCTGTGAACTAGGATGCTTATAAACTTCAAATGATCCTGGACCAGAAGTTTATACCTTCCAACCCAAGGTCCTGCTCTCCACTCATGTATGTAGCCTCTTCTTGTATAATACCTGAGGGAAACTGACTGGGGAGATGCTTCAGTGTTTGCCCAACAAGCATGAGACCTGAGTTTGGAACCCCACACCTACGTAAAAACCTGGACATAGTGGCTTCTATTTGAACCAAAGCCCTAAATGCATGGTCTGTGAAGGTGGCGGGTGGCCCTCAGGAAGTTACCGACCAGCTACTCTAGCCAATCAGGTATCCCCCCTGGAAATTACTAGCTAGCTAGTCTAGCCAGTGAGCAATCTCTGGGTTCAAGGATAGACCTTATGTCAAAAATGTGGTGGGGAGTAGAAGAGAAAGACACCCACCATCGAATTATGACAGTCTGTGCATGTGCATACACAAATTAGATACAAAGTCAATGGGTAGAGTGTATTTTTAGTTACCTTACATTTCATACATTTGTTTTTAAAAAATCAGTCTTTGTTGTTAATGACTGTATTTTAAAAAATAAAAAGATATCCAAGAGTTGATGATAGCAGTAATTCTTGTAATAGCAGTACAGATATCAGAAAGCTGAGGTAAAATCACATTGAGTTCAACCAGCCCATCTCAAACATATAATTTTAAAAATTAAAAGAGGGAGAATAGGAAAAAGCTATGAAGAATAAGATCCATGTTTTTCTGCAGTGTGACTTGTTTTCACATGTCTGTGCATATATACTTAAACAGTGGCATGTACATTATATTACCCATTAATAAAATGCCTTTCAAATAGAGAAAACAAAATCAACTCTGATTTTATTTTGATCCTATACCCTCCCTACACGCATGCTGGCAAGATCTGTTGTTTATATATTGTTTAAGTCTAGTGTGTATTGGTGTGTGGAAAACTAAGAATTCTGATACAGTGAATACAGCTACCCTTGCTGAGATGATCATAATCTTGACCTTTGATTAGATCTAAGCTAGTCATATTTGTGAAGGATCAAAGGACCAAAAAAGTTTGAATATTTGTTTTGAACCTTTCCAGAATTAAAAAAAAAAGATTATTCTGTTTGTCTTATTTTTATCTTATCAGATTGCATCCACCAGATAAGTGATTAAAAGAAATTTTGAAATATGAGTTTGCTAATGTCAAAGATCAAAGAGAAAAAAGTGTTTAAGTCATAGCATTTTAGGAAATGCTTCACATATTTAAACATTACATTATTATTAATACCTAACAGAATCCTATTCATAATCATTATTTCAATAAAATTATTCATAAAATAATAACAAAATAAAACACTCAGGAAAACCATACTGAGGCGGGTTCCTTTTTTTTGGGGGTGGTGGAAGGAATCAAATACAGATTCTCATGCATACAAACCAAGCAAGTTCTCTAGTTTCTAGCTATACACTAAGCTCTATAATGGCATCTTTATTGTTCTCAATAAAAACGGTTTTCAAGTTAACTTATTGTCACTCTTTTGATTATGTAATTCCAGCCTGATTGACAGTTGGTAAACTTTGACAGCTAAACTCTGTGACATCTAACACCCAGAGCCTGGCAAGAGCTCTTGAATTTGCACTGGACAGTGGCTACTGTGTGTCTACTAGCTCATCTAGAGAGCTCTATTGTTGGGATGTATTGAGTTCATGGACTGACTAATTTTGCTAGGTGATTGAAAGCATAGCTGAGGTGTTCCCTAGCTTAAGCAGACATATACCTTTAGGCAAATGGCTTACCACCTTACAGGAAGTCCTTAAGCATACACAGGCTTTAGGCAAATGGCTTACCATCTGAAACCCAAGAGATCCTTTGGCTATTAAAAGGGGAAAATACACTATAGCCTCCAAGGTGATATCAGGTTCTAAACACTTTGATCAACTAAATGAATAGAAAACATGCACAAAGAATAATTTGATGCATTCACTGTAAAAAACAAACCTCCACGTGATATATAAAATGCGCTAAGATATTTGGAAAACCTTCAAGTTCAATAGTGCGAGATTTTCCTAAAGCCTCATCATACAAAATTCTTATTAATAATAGAGTCTTATTAAGAATAATAATAGAATAATAAAATAATAGAGTCTTATTAATATTGAATGAACTCATACCCTTTATTTGTGGGAAGATGAGTTTCTACATACATTGGGGTTTAAATGATTGAGTCCACATAACTGAACATTCCATGCTACTATGAAATAAAAGTCATCAGCAATTACAATACATAATTTATAAGAAGTTTAACTCTGTCCTAAATTTGACCTATTCCAAAGTACCTTAGTTAATTTTCTTTCTGTTGCTGAAATAAAACTCTAACCAAAACCAACTTGGCTGAGAATGGATTATTCAGTTTATAATTCCATGTCATACTCCATTCAGGGATATCAGGGCAGGAATTCAAGTAGGAACTGAAGCAGAGACTGTAGCTTGTCCCCACACCCTTCTGGCTAGGGCTTAGATTCAGCCAATTATCTTACATTACCGAGAACACTTACCCAGGGGTAACACAGTCCACTGTGGGCTAGGCCCTCTTCCATCATTTATCAATTAAGAAAATACCCCATGTACATGTCCACAGGCCAATCTTATCTCTTAAGAGGTTTTCTCTTCCCAAGTATATGAAGTTGACAGTCCAGATCAGCCATCCCACTTGCCAAATATATAACCATCAAGCATAAATTTTACTTAAAACTATGTTTGGTGAGGATTTCTAGAGAAAGCTCAGAAGTTAAGAACACTTGTGCTCTTTCAAAGAACCCCAGTTGGATTCCCAGTACCCACATGCTGACTCACAACTGTCCTTAACTCTACTTCCAGGTTGTCTAATGCCATCTTTTCACCTCCTCAGTTACTTGGCACACAAACATACATGCAGGTAAAACACCCATATTTCTACAATAAAAGTTATATAAATAAAAGAATCAAGTTTAGTTCTTATTAGATTTAGTAGGTGACATTTTATAGAATGACTTGTAAAAGACCAAAACATCAGACAGTGGCCTTTTTAAAGAAAAAATCAGCATTTTATCAAACTGACAATTTTCCAAATGAATTCTAAGAGTCGATGTAGTTACCTATTGGTCCTCTTAGCCACAGATCCTTCAGGTGTACAGTGGTATTCTGATGGAAAACTGAAGATGTGATAGATACATCAAACTGTGTCTCAGCTCTCAAGCAGCTGTTGAATCCTTATAAGAGAAAAGATATCAAAAGTTGCTCAACAAAATGGGATCTGAAGGACACATACCCACACAAACTGAAAAAGCTTCGTAAGCACAGTCTATGGTGATGTAGGAATCAATGAAGAGGTGAACTGACAGAGGCTGTGCAATTCATGTGTCCACTTAGACTGGATAAATAACCCGTAGGTACTAAAATGAGAATGACTTCAGTTTTCTCTCATTTCTTTTTTTCTCTACATAGGCGCCCTCGTGAACCTCCCTTGATAAAAGGTTGGCTTCCTTATCTTGGCATGGCCCTGAAATTCTGGAAGGATCCATTAACTTTCTTGCAAACTCTTCAAAAGCAACATGGTGACACTTTCACTGTCTTGCTTGGGGGTAAGAAGCTCTGCTCTGAGTACTTTGCATGTGCCATAATCTCTTGTTGGCTCTTTGACGTCTTCACATTTGTTCATAGGCAGAATGTGGAACATTCATCTAGCATTGCCCAGCAAATGCAGAGAATGACAAGTGACGCACAGTGATGACCATATACAAAACCTGGTTACAGAATCCTCTGACAGGTCCTAAAGAAGCCACTCGCCTGAGCTCACTTGGACTTGTTTTTGGGTTAGTTTAGGTTATTTGAGAACTCTTTTAAGAGCTAGAATATGGTGTGTGTGTGTGTGTGTGTGTGTGTGTGTGTGTGTGTGTGTGTTCCTTTAGAAGTATAAGGTAGTTCAGCGACAGCTCATAGTTCTTATGTCCATGATCTTCCTGTCACAGATTCCCAGCTAGTAGCGTCTCATCTCAGTATGCCAATCACCAGCAGCCGATGTGCTCCCGTGGGTGCGTCATTCACAGCCTCTCGTTTGCACTCTTGTCTACTTCTTATGTTCTTTGGCTTTCACAGATGCATGGTGTGACATGCATACCATCATAGTACCATAAAGAGTATCATAACTCTGAACGTCTGAATTTTTCACATAATACTTTCTCTTTCTCTGCTTTGCAAACACTGCTCTGGATTATATTTCAGCACTTAAAATGGTTCAGCGTAGTCCACACTTTTCAAAATGTTTTTAAAGGGAAAGACATACTTTTCCTCATGACTCTTTCTTCTTGTGAAGTTCTTCCTCTCATGCTTATATGTCTTTCATTTGGTATCTTTGTCCTTAGCTTAAAGCCACATTAAATCATTAAATGATAAATCATTAAATGATCCTACTTTTATCTTGTATTTTTCAACTCTCTCTCTCTCTCTCTCTCTCTCTCTCTCTCTCTCTCTCTCTCTCTCTCTCTCTCTCATTTCTTCTTTCCTTTATTCCTCACTTCTCTCCCTTCCCCTTCTCCCACCCTTCCTCCATTCCTTACTTCTTTCGTTTATTCCCTAGTCCTCTCCTTCCCCTCCCTCTCCATGCTCCTTTCCCCCCTCTTCTTGTCTCCCTCCTTCCATCTCTCTATCTATATTTTTTAATCCATAACTATCTCTGTCTCCTGGATATTTTTAGAAAGTGACTTGCCTTTGTCATCTCTAGTAATTTATTTTCTGAAGTTCCCCTAATGGTACCCAGTCTTTTGTTCTCTCAAGGTCAAGAACAGCCTATCCCCTTCATCTTAGTGCCTTGCTGATCTCTCCTATCTCCCTAAAATATCCAGTTGCTTCCAACTCTCTTGAATGTGGCCCTTCAGGTTCCTCTATTGACTCTGAGTGTCCTTCATGGACTTTATGTCTTTCTATATCAGTATGTCTTTCTCTTCAGCTTCTCTATTCTATTCCTAAAGAAGTAGGGCAGTCTTATGTAAGTAATTACTGTTCTGAGGATCAGCAGCAACCTTTTGCACATTGTGGTTACCATGCAAATGTACCATTTGAGTAATAAAAGGACAGGGCACCATCTTGATTGACTCATCCACATGGTTAGTTTTAATTCACTCTTAAACAGGCCGTATTAGTTTTATTATAACTTATTCTTTCCCCTGACAGCTGACAAATCTTTTACCATGATAATTACATGAACTGTAATTTCAGAAAAAAATAGAAATGAAAACAGCCATGCATTTTAGAAAGAATTGTACCATGTAATATGACCTTCCCGTGACCCCATTCAGCTCATTCCATCTCCACTCCCATCCTGCCTTGTGCTTATGACCTCATCAATGCATCTCACTGATGTTCCTCCACACAGACCATGTCTTTGTGCCTTTGACCTTTGTTTTGTCTTTCTTTATGCCAGAACGCTGCTTCCAGATGACTATTCCTTCTTCCTCGGGTCCTTTCCTGGACATACTATCCCACCTTTGGAGCCCTTCACTGGGGCTCAGTTATCCGCAGTACCCTGCTCACTCTAACTCATACCTAAATGGTTTACTGATGAGTCACTTGTCCATCTCTTTTTTTCTGTTAGTGAGTCTCTTACAATTTGTTCTACAGCTCAGTGCTCATTTCATCATTATTAATTTTTGAGGGGAAAATCTCTAACACATTACAGTTGATAAATACTTTTAGATAGAAAAAGGACATGCCCAGCATTATTTTTCTAGTTGTGTTTAGGACTAAACTAAATCTACAAAGCAGAGAATGTTTATATAGAAAAAAATAATGTTGCTGCTGGGACTAGATGTCCCAGGGTTGCGTGATACCCAAGGGGGCTTCCTTCCCTTTCTCTGTGGAGAAGGGAGAGTGTAATGAGGACATGGATTTTTAAGGGCCAGACTGGGAAGAGGGGAAGAAGGGGGCTGCAATTGTAATGTAATGTGAACAAAAAATAAATTATGGAAGGAAAAAAACAGTTAATAAGTGAGAGCTTAAAAACGGGGGGGGGGGGCCTTTTTAAAATGTAACGTCAAATTTCCAGTGAGCAGTACAAAAATTGTTAGAACTTGTAGCTTTTTCTGTTTAAGACCTTATACAAAGGTTGCCTAAAATGACTCAACAGAAACTTGTAGATACTTTAGAAAAGATTCACGTTTCTAAAGCAAAAACAATGTGTGTGTGAGTGAGTGTGTGTGTGTGTTTGTGTGTGTATTTTTTTTCTCCACACTTGGGAGATTTAAGCAAAAGGGTCTTGAGTTTGAGGTCAGCCAATAAAATCTTGTAAACAAACAACAAAACAAAAACAAAGAAAGAAGCCATCAATAACAATACTTTATTTTCTAAAAGAGAGGGGACTGGAAAAATAGGTCAGTTGGTAAAGTGCTTGCTGCAGGATGCAATGTACTTTACTTCCCAACATATGGGAAGAAGAGACAGAGAAACGAATCTATGGGGCTTCTTGTCCAGTTAGCTGATCCCAGTCAGCCAATTCCCGTCCTGGTGACACCATTTCTCAAATAACATGATGGGTAGCATCTGAGCAACAACAACTGAGGTTAGCCTCTATTCTTTACAAGCATGCAGCATAAACACATAATCGCATGCCCATATACAAATCAATCAAACAAAAGCAATCAATCCATGGTCACAGATGACCGTAATCCTAAATTCTAAGAAACATAATACTGACTAAATAACTTGGTCATCATGACCTGCCGAAGAAAATAGTTCTCTAATTGGTTTTGTGTGCTAGTGCAATGGAATAATTTTCCCTAAATGTCATCCTAGAGAAGCTCCACTGTTCATCATTGTCAACTGCTAGAGAAATCTCCCTAATAGAGGGAGTAAGTACACAATGGTGATCTTTCTCAGCAACGAAGTCAGCTGCCCAACTAGTGCTTATGAATCAACATTCAATCCAAAATCCGCTGAAGAACTACCTTACTAAAATCTTACAATTTCAGAAAGTTTATTGAAAATCTCTCTCTCTCTCTCTCTCTCTCTCTCTCTCTCTCTCTCTTTCCCCTCTCTCTCTCTCTCTTTCTCTCTCTCCTCTCTCTCTCTCTCATATATGTATATGTATATGTATATGTATATGTATATATGTATATATATATGACTTATTAAGCAACTGATTTGAATTCCTAGTCCTGTGTCTACTCAGTACCAACTTTAACATGAAAACAGCCAGGCTCACTTATTAGCTAAAAGCCAGAAATCTTGTGTATAAGACTTCAAAGCACATTTATCAAATTATTTTGAATTTTGTAGCATTGGCTTTCTAAGGAAATGATATCAGAAAAGATGAGTTATCTTGGGAGACTGGAGTTAATAGTCCCAGTCTGCTCCATAAAAGGGAAGAAAAATGAAATACTTGGCAAGGAAGATATTAAACATGTTGGTCCCATTTCAATGGTAATGGGCAGAAAATTGTTTTATACTGTATCTTTTCAGACATAGGACTCCTTTTGACATTTACATTTTCGACAAATGCAAACTTTGCAATTCTTAAAATCAATATTTTATATCCATTTCTGACAGTATTCTTTGCTCTTTTGAAAACATTGTAAAGGGTATTGTTTGTACATTAGGATCTCTGTGAACTAGGCAGCATGACTGTTGACACTTGGTATTCATTTACATAAAATCACGATAAGAAAAAGTGAATTTCTCTCTGAGCATTCATAGCCTTCAAGATAACTTTTCAAAAAAATCCCTTTGTTTGGAAATTTGAATTCATTTTATAAATGTATATGTATTTTCCTAACTGTCTGATTACGGAACACAAAGAACTCTGGTTTTACATCTCACATTAGCAGATGGTGGACAGATGGTTTAAATTAATATTAATTTTGGAAAACTTAGCTTAAATTGTTTATACTGAAGATTAAAAGTTGGAAAGCCAGCTAAACTCTCCAGGGTTATTGATATTTCCAAATCAATTTGAAAAGTAAAATCCAGAAAACACAGCTAGTTCTAAGTAATCCACATCTCCTTCAGAAAAATTGAAAGCAGAAGGCAGAAAGGTAGCATCTTGTTAGGGAAGAAAATTAACTCTGGAACAAGGAAGAAATGTGCAGACTCTAGAGTGAGAAGTCACTTTGAACTTTTTAGTGATGGTCTTTTAAAAGACCTTAGCAGGCTTGTTGGATGCTCGGTTGGTCCTGTGCCAGATACACAAGCACAAGGACCTGATTTTTGATCCTCTGTACCACTATAAAAGACAAGTGTGGAAAGAGTTTCTGTAAGTGTGTGAACACAAAAGAGGATTTTCTGGAACTCATTGGCCAGCCAGTCTAGCTGAAATGATGAGCCCCAGATCCGATGAGAGATCTTGTCTCCAAAAATAAGATGTCTGGTGATTGAAGAAGACATCTGGTGTTTATTTCTGTCTTCCATGTGCACGTGTAGTGGCAAGTGTACATCCACACACCACACAAATGTATTTACAACACACACACACAAAAGAAAATTGCCTGGAAGCTCACTGGCCAATCAGCCTGCACTACAGAGCAGAAGTGACAGGGTGAAAAGTGAAAACCAACTTCCACAGACACAATGTTGTACATGCACCCCCATAGCACATGTCTACCTGCACAACATACAGCACACACAACCAACCAACCAGCCAATCAATGTTTACAAGATGTTACATTTGTTTGCGGACTTGAACCAATTATTTCACATTTATGTTTTTATTAAAAATCTTATATTTTCTTCTGATAAGGGGAAGGTAAAGAGAGAGAGAATGACGAGAGAACGAGATGGAAAAGTGAGAAACAGAAATAAGAAGAATGCATTTATTTCTAATGACTTGTAAACAGAGCAGAAATCTGGATGTATCCAATCTGTTTCAAAAGGCCATGTTGTAGTAGCAGATAGTGCCTAGGATGAATACTTTTTTAAAGTTTCTCTTTAGATTTAGATAGATGTAAAAAAAGTGGTAGAAAAAAATCAAACTATATTCCAAAGACCGTGATTAACAAGTTAAACCGTGTGTATAGTCTTTGAATTTTAGATCCTTACTTAAAGGAATACTATTAATATTTAACAAAACTCAATCATTTGGGAAGAAGAATGCATGAATCATCACCAGTGAAAATAAACAGCTTTGCCTAAAATTATCTCTTTGAAAAATGAGAAAGTTGACTCCCCTATACTGACTATTTGTCTGGCAGATGCTAGCAATTTTAGTAAAGTTGTAATGGTGAAGGAAATGATTCAAAGTGCTCAATTCCAGTGTGGTCCTTTCTGTGTCTCTCCCTGAGGCTAACCAAAGAATGAATGAAAACAAAACTCTACTTCATTTGGAGAAGGAAGAGCCAATATCCAACCAGAAAGAATGGCTATTCTAGACCTCCCTCACTCTGCATTGCCTTGCCCTGATAACTGAATCGAGGAAAAATGGATTGGATGAAATTCACTTGGAGAAAAATTAATCATGGCAAATATATTCTCATATATGCTTAACACTTAAACTGTATTTTTTAAATGGCCAAATTAAAGCACATTATCCTGACTCTAGGATTTGGTCGAAAATTATTCTAAATCTTTGTCTTGTACTACACTGATTAATTTTTGTAATCCTAAGGGGAAATTTTCACCTAGGAAAGCTACACACACACACGCACACACACACACGCACACACAGGGTTTGAGAAGAAGAGAAAGGGTGGGGGAGGAAGAGGGAGAGAGAGAGAAACAGAGACAGAGAGAATTAAGTACAGGTAGTACTTAATATGGACAGTTCAAATTATTCAAATGTATGTAGTGTGTGTTTTTAGGAAGGAAAGACTTATTAACTGGGACCATTGCATGCCACTGATATATTTCTAATCAGATGATATGCATCTTAAAGCAGTCCTGCAGTGGAAACCAAGAGCTGAGTGAGGCTGACCAAGGAGCCTGTGTGTAGGCTATGCTTCTCAGCTGTCTAGGCTCTCTCAGCTGATGAGTGCACAGGTTCAACTAGGAACTCTGAAGTATTTGCCAGGTTTGAGAGACTGGCCATAGTGAACAATGAAGTTCAGAAATTCAAGAAATAAAATTTTTACAGTATCTTTTGTTTTCAAAGGGGATTTAGTAGGCCTTTGAGTAGAATGCATCTTGTTAAAATTGCTTAATAAAACTATTAACTTCTTAATAATGTCTCTAATTTTAAGTTAAAGATTTGCAGACTTCAGGTATATATTTTGACTTGCTATCAAATAAACCATATTCTTTTTCTTTTTTAGGGAAGTATATAACATTTGTTCTGAACCCTTTCCAGTACCAGTATGTAATGAAAAACCCCAAACAATTAAGCTTTGATAAGTTCAGCAGACGATTATCAGCGAAAGCCTTCTCTGTCAAGAAGCTGCTAACTGATGATGACCTTAATGAAGACATTCACAGAGGCTATCTACTTTTACAAGGCAAACCTTTGGACAGTCTTCTGGAAACCATGATCCAAGAAGTAAAAGAAATATTTGAGTCCCAACTGCTAAAAACCACAGATTGGAATACGGAAAGAATATTTGTGTTCTGTAGCTCATTGGTATTTGAGGTCACATTTACAACTATATATGGAAAAATTCTTGGTGGTAACAAGAAACAAATTATCAGTGAGCTAAGGGATGATTTTTTAAAATTTGATGACATTTTTCCATACTTAGTATCTGACATACCTATTCAGCTTCTAAGAAATGCAGAATCTATGCAGAAGAAAATTATAAAATGCCTCACATCAGAAAAAGTAGCTCAGATGCAAGGACGGTCAGAAATTGTTCAGGAGAGGCAAGATATGCTGAAAAAATACTATAGGCATGAAGACTTTGAAATAGGAGGTAAGAAAGTACTGAATGATCACTCACTAAAGTAAAATAATTTACAGGAGACCTTTGAGATAAAAGATAAAATGATGTCCTTGAAAATTTTTTATGCTCTTTATAATTGGCTAATGATAAAATGTTTTATTCCGAAACAACCTTCTGTGATAATTGATTTTTTTTTTGCTGAGGTGGTAAAACAAGATATTTAATGATGATAATGAGAAAGAGTATAACTAAACAGCATTTACTTCTTTATCTCATCCCCACCTTCCTGCAACCCCTCTCCTGCTGCAACACGCATTACATTTTAAACTATTCTCATTAAGCAGAAAATTAGACTTCAGAAGCCTATTGGTTCTCATTAGCATGCACTGATCCCTGGCTGGGTCCGTGTCCTAACATCTTTTAATTAGCACACTGCAAATCTAATCAGTGTAATAAACGCTATTAATCTTCCTTTTCACTTATTCTCTCCCAGCACATCATCTTGGCCTTCTCTGGGCCTCTCTAGCCAACACCATTCCAGCTATGTTCTGGGCAATGTATTATATTCTTCAGCATCCAGAAGCTATGGGAGCCCTACGTGACGAAATTGACAGCTTTCTGCAGTCAACAGGTCAAAAGAAAGGACCTGGAATTTCTGTCCACTTCACCAGAGAACAATTGGACAGTTTGGTCTGCCTGGGTAATTTATTTTTATCTTTTATGAAGAGAAGAAGGTAGCTCTCTGCAAACTCAGTTTATCGCTCATAGCTGTTTACCAAGAGGTGGAGGACACAGCTGCCTAATTGACATAATAACACCCATTTACATCAATTATAAATTATATAGTTTATAGCTGTAGATACTCTCATTGCATGTAAACATTAAGGCCTAACTAATTAACTATGCAAGGTATGCAAAGGGATAAACCAAAGCTTTGCAATTATTTGGGAGGGGGGAGTGTGTATGCCTGTTATGTGAATTGATTCTGAGCATCTGTTGGTCTGCAGATGCCTCCCAAACACTGCTTTCCTGTCTGGACAGAGAATGATTCCATGGTTGAACAGGAAAGTGTTCCAGAGAGGGAAAGTGCATGCACAAATACTTACTCTTCCTTAAAATGGGCATTTCGTGCATACGTCACAGTGTTTTATTTAGCTTGGGGCATATGATTCTTATGATTGTAGTTAAAATACTCTTCATTGTAGGCTAGTGGTTTAAATGCTCAGAAAGTAGCAAAGCAAAGAAAGAGAGGAAAGAAGGGAGGGATGAAGAGGGAGCGGTGTGAGGAAGGGGAGGCAGGTAGGGAAGGGGATGGAGTGGGCAAAACAGCTACAAACTGCTTCCTTTAAACGTTGGAATTCTTAAAAAAAAAAAAAGCCTCTCACTGTTCTAGGAAATAAAAGAGAACACTGTGGAAGATGTATCTGTGGCCTATACTAGTTGGCTGTTTTTGCTCCTCCCACGGTTTTCCTTTTGGTTTTACTCATTAGCCTTACACCTAACATGAGCCGTGGATCTGCCGCAGGAGTACGTTTCATTTCCTGCTTTGCCCAGGCTGCTTCTTACTATTGTGTAGGGAACTCATACCCTTAAAGTTAGAATCCGTACCAATATATGCCAGTTGTCTCTGAAGTCATCAATCATCTGTATCATTCTTGAAGAAACACTCTCAGTTTCTTTGAACAAATGCATTTTTATGTTTTTGATTCCAGGGGTATTTGGCTTAATAAGATTAAGATTTTAGCCTGTGTTGGCTTCAAGTTTTTATACATAAGATACATCCCTCCTTCTCTCAGCAGATTCTGAGATATCAAGTCCTAATAGTATTGATCACAGTTGACTGTTCCTCAGCACTAACATGACTGCCCCAAATGTTGCAGAGATGGTTCACGTTGGGCAGGCTAAGACCTATCACAGGGGCAACAGCAGCCACTGTGACTTATATACTGTAATCAACTATGAAAATTGCATCACCTCTCATGTTCCTAAAAGAATTACATGTTCAGAAAAAAATACTCCCTACATTATCAAAATGCTAATATTATTTGGGGGGAGGGGCAGAACTCTCAAGGATCTAATACACAAAATATATAAAAACTATGAGTAGTTGTTTATACTTTGGATGAGTAGTATTTTTGAGTTGATTTAGTTTCTATGAAGTCCTAGGTTTCATTTTCCATATATCCAGATAATTACCCTTTTGTTTTAAGAATGAGAAGATCAAAAAGTAATGCAAATGAACTCCAAAGACTATGTTCATAGTCTGTACATAATTATTACTCTTAACAGTTTTCTTGAAATTCATCAACTGTCTGTTTATTGCTAGCAAGCAACTGTTTGTTATTGAAATAAAAGCTTGTTTTTAAAGTGCACTGTTAACCGTTGGACTGAGCTCAGGGTCCTGATGGAGGAGTTAGAAAGGGACTGAAGGAGCTGAGGGGGTTTGCAGCCCCATGGGGGGAGCAACAGTGTCAACTGGGCAGACTCCCCACCTAGCTCTGGGGAACTGGACTACCAACCAAAGAGTACACATAGAGTGACCCTTGGCTCTGACCGAATATGTGGCAGAGGATGACCTTGTTGGACATCACTGGGAGGAGCAGCCCTTGGGCCTGAGGGTATTTGATGCCCCAGTGTAGGGAAATGCCAGGACAAGAAGACAGGAGTTGATGGCTGGGTGGGGGAGGACCCTTATTGAGGCAGGAGGGATGGGATAGGGGGGTTCCAAAGGGGAGACCTGGAAAGGATAAAATGATCAAAATGTAAAGAAAATATCCAATTTTTTAAAAAGTGCACTGTTATGAAAGAAATGTTTAGATTTTGTCTTAGTCAGAGTTTGTGTTCCTGCAAAAAATATCATAACTAAGAATCAAGTTTGGGAGGAAAGGGTTTATTCGGCTTACACTTCCACATTGCTGTTCATCACCAAAGGAAGTCAGGATGGGAACTCAAGCAGGTCAGGAAGCAGGAGCTGATGCAGAGGCCACGGAGAGATGCTGCTTACTGGCTTACTCTCCTGGCTTTCTCAGCTTGCCTTCTCAGAGAATCCAGGACTACTAGCCCAAGGATGGCACCACTCATAATGAGCCCTCCCACCCTTTATGACTAATTGAGAAAATGCTGTACAACTGGGTCTCATGGAGGCATTTCCTCAAGAGAGGCTCCTTTCTCTGTGGTAACTCCAGCTTGTTTCAAATTGACACATAAAACAAGCTAGAACAAATTTATTGTACCGGAAGAAATGGCAAGTTCTGAACTTGTAATTTAGTCTATGCAAGTCAACAGCTAGACTTGGAGCCCTCCTAAATTAACAGTTCTCCCATGCTTACCTGATGTATAGAAACAACAAATCTTTTCTTTTTAATTCACTTTTACACATGACATATCCTCCCTTCATCCCTCACAGTCCCCAGACTCCTGCAACATTCCCTCTCCTCCATTTATCTTCAGAAAAGAGCTGGCCTCCCAGGGGTATCAACCAATTGTGGCAGAGTAAGATGCAGTAAGACTAGGCACAAACCCTCAAATCAAGGCTGCATTAGACAACCCACTAACAGGAAAATAGTCGCACAATTAGGCAAAAGAGTCAGAGAAACACCACTTCTGTTGTTAGGAGTCCCATAAAATCACCAAGCTAAACAACCAGAGCATGTATGCAGAGGACCTAGAGACACCCATGCAGCCTCCTCTCTGTCAGCTCCTATGAGCCCTAATGAATTGGTTCTGTGGGTAATAACCTCCTTGTATCCTCTACCACTCTGGACAATACCATTCATCCTCTGCCTCTTCCATGTGGATTCCCCAAACTCCAAGGACAGAGATCTTTAATTTGGGCTCTCTCTTGAGTAATGTCAGAAACACAAAATCTTAAAAAACTATGCCAAAGTGATACCTTTAATAGCCAGCCATGTTTCTGGCAGCCCACTGTCCAGAAGAGTCTGTCATTTCTTTATTATGAGAATGTGTGGTACAGGCTATTACTTTTAGGAAACAAGTGTATTTTTTTTCTGTCCTGAGATAAGAGGCTTAGTGAGACTGGAGCAAGCTTTCACACACCAAGTAACCTCTGCACTTATAGTTGAACCAAAAGTCTCCCTTTGTCAGAAGAGTAAAATGTGAACTGAAAAGACAAGAATCACCTGGCTAATATGTACCATAACCATGGCTCCATATGCCACATGAAATGAATATACTGCTTGCATTTTTGCTTTCTTTTTTCAATGAAATAATTCTTTTTTCCATTAATTAATTTATTCATTCACTATATATCCCAATCACTGCCTCCCTCTTCTGGGTCCCTCACACACACACAGTCCCTTCCCCAAACCCCCCTTTTCTCCTCTGAAAGGATACCCCTTGGTGTCCCCCGACACTGGTACATTAAGGCTCTGCAGGGGTAGTCACATCCTCACACACTTAGGTCAGAAAAGGCAACCCAGTTAGGGAAACAGTATCCACAGAGAGGAAACAGCTTTAGAGACAGCCCCCCACCTCCAGTTGTTAGTGGACCCACATAAAGATAGAGCCGAACATCTGCTACACATATGCTTGTTGGGAGGGGTGAGGTACAGCTTGTGTATGTTCTTTGGTTGGTAGTTCAGGCTCTGAGAGCCCCTAAGTGTTCAGGTTGGTTAACTCTGTTGGCCTTCCTATGGAGTTCCTATCCCCTGTGGTGCCCTCAATCCTTCCCCCAACTCTTCCATAAGACTCCCTGAACCCTGTCCAATGTTTGCCTGTGGGTCTTTGGATCTGTTTCAGTCAGGTTCTGTTGGAACTGTTCTCTGAGAACAGTTACGGCAGGCTTATGTAAGTTCTATGTGTTTTGAACACAATTCACTATTAACGGATAACTTTAATTTTTATCATTACCAGAAAAAATGTAATTAAATAAATGCTGTGCTTTTTACCTAGGAAAGGAAGTTTTGATAAAAGTATGGAAAAAGATATTCTTTTTTTTGTAGATGCTTTGTTGCTTATGAACAAGGGAAGCTGTCATAGGCTGTTGGAGTAATTTAAAGTGACTTCATAAATATGATACAAATAGAGGACAATTAAGAAAATATCAATGCAGAGAAAGATAAAAGCTCTCATTATTGAAAGTTTGACAACCTGATAGAAAATTATCTTGATGAATACTATCTAACATTTCCTTGAATGAAGTATATGAATATCTTAATATAGAAGAATTAATAAATGTTACCTAGTGATGTAATCAAAATATTTGACCTGCATAGCATCTCTACAAGCTTTATGGTGGTTTCTTACTTTTCTAGTATGAATGAATCAACCTGGCATCATACTACAGACTTGTCCCTCAGGAATGGTAACTCTATATATTACCACCCAAAAGAGCAAACGTAACTCCCATTAAAAAACATAAGACAGATGTATTGTAACTCGAAACAGGTCAGAAAAACTGCAGGTACTTGATTTTGTTCAGTGGCATAGCTTGAAATTAAAAAGGTTGTGGACATGGTGAGAAAAAGAGCTATGAAACTGAAGTTGGATAAACTTTGTCATGCATTTTTTGGTGTTTTCTATTGTTGTTGTTGTTGTTGTTGTTTTATTTAGTCTTTTATTGGATATTTTATTAATTTACAATACAGATGTCATCCCCTTCCCCACTTCCCCTCCCTAGAACCCCCTATCACTTCCCCCCTCCTCCTTTATGCTTTTATACCATTTTGATTACATGCGTGT